AAGGCAGAGGGATGTCTCAAATGATGGAGCCTTCCTGGGTTTCAAAGGGACATCAAAAGCGAGTTTGCCACCAATGCAAGCTGCGAATCAACGCAGTACATAGCCCTAAGTGGACTATCCAACTTCACGCATGCCTTAAGTACCCCAGAAAGCGAGAAGGGCTCTCGGAACTTCGGCAAGAACTGAAGGCCGAAAGCTGGGCCCTGGGCTGTTTTTTTCCCGTCGGCGGCCGCTTTTGCTTTTCTCATTTTTCGACTCCTTGGAGTCATAGGCGTCCTTTTTAGGTTAGCTGGGTTAAGAATAGACGGCACTTAGATGGGTTTGATTCCATTTGCCAAAAAAGCACCACCTAGATAGCCAAGTTGCTGCTTTTTTCAGCCACTGTTGCTGGTTTTGGGGAAGAGTGGATGGAAAAAAGCGATCGCAACTGGCGATCCAGGCATCGATTCTTCCATGTGCCATGGTTGTTGCTGGGAAACATTTTGCATTTTTGCTTATTGTGGTTTAGTGGGAAATCCCCCACTGAACTGCCAAAAGAAAGGCTCCCCTTCCAACGTCAACCAAGTTACCAGGGACGCCCATTTATGTCTCCCTTTTGACCACCTTATGTGTGGTGCGTGCTTCCAAGGCACCGAGCCAGATGTCAGCCGAGGGGCCCAAGCTGATGGCTTTGAAGCCCCGGGCCTCCCGTTTCCAGAGAAGTCGTGGGTGTTGAGGACTCGGAACCGTCAAAGGGATTTTTGGGTGGTCCTTTCTTCCCCCAAATTAGCTCCTTTTTTTTGCTTTTTTGCTTTTTTGGGCTCCCTTTGTTTTCACTAACCAGGCAAAAAAAATAGAAAAACATGCCGGGGTCCTAATTCCAGCCTAGCTTTGTGAGTGTGTGTTTGTTGAGGAATCGGACCCCCCGAGCAATGGTTTTTCGGTCTTCCTGTGTTGCTGTTCCCCGAAAACGAAAGGAATTGTTTTTTTCTCAAGGCACGAGGCACAGGGATTTCGGTCTTTCTTGGTTGGTGTTCCCTTAAGGCCAGAGGGGACAAATTGGTTGTCTCCAAAAAAGACGAGCCGCCCATGTCTCATTTTTTTTACGCGACCTAGGGTTTGCATCACGGGTTCTCATGGGCCCAATGGGTTTTCCAAGAACATATCTGAGGATACCATGAGAAAGACGAACCTGTGAGTTGGTGACGTGGGATCAATCAAAGGAGGACCACTTCACTGTTCTTGGCTCATGCTTTTAGGCTTTCAGTTGTTGTTGGTTCTGTTCATTTTTAAGTGTGGGGGGGCTGCAAACAGCAGTCATCAGTTTTTTTCTACCATCGCAATAGGATTTCCCACATCAACATGGTCCTTCGATGACGTCACCTTTCTTGCATTTGCAAACGGGTCATGTGTTTTCAGGGTTGTGGGCTTTTTTCGGGGTTTATCCAACCACTTTTGGGAACCTCCCCCTTTGTATAGGAGGGTTGCAGGTCTTGGGGGTTAGGCCCTTTGTGTTGTATCACAGATTCCTAGATTCCATTTCAACCACAGCTTTCCAACTGCGTGTTGCGCCTTTTTTTTTTTTCTGGCGTTGGTTTTTCCGAGTCGGCACGGTCCTTGCGACACAGTTGGACGATTCTCCGGTGGCTTTCCTTGAGCCGATCGCCACTTTTGGATCCAACCAGGGCAATGGAAGCACTCAAATGGAACCCCAATCCCCAAGAACTTTTTCGGGGCGTTGGCCTTTAGGCAAAGACTACAAGCTCGCACGCCAGCTGCAGAAGGAGGAGGAGCTCAGTCTGAAACTTGGCAACTCCCATCGAATTTGCGGGTGACCCATGAGAACCTGGATAACCAAGGCACCCACCCTTTGAACACCAAGAGTGTTTCATGGCGAACCTGCAACTGCGGGGATCTGTGGGGAATTAAAGTGATGCCCCGAATCTGTAGAATGTCACTGGCCAAGCGGTTCAGTGCCCTTGGCTCCGAGAGACCTTGAGCCTCGAGCAGCTGGACTCTGACGTTGAAGGGACACCTCAAGCTCAGAGTTCTGCTTCGAACTTCCCGGTCGATCCGAACGGTTTTTTTTCTTCAGCGGATTTGGTCGGGTCGAGCCCACTCAACGGGTCCGAGGCAAATTTAAACCAGCTCTTTTCAGCTGCCGAATCGAGGCCTTGCTCTCTCAGTCTATGGTGGAATTTGCCGCGCGATCTCGGCAACTCGTCCAAAGGCCACTTTTCCAAATTGGGGTGTCTTTCTTGAGGGTACCCACTTGTTGTTTGGTTGACAGGGAAACCACGAGGAAAATCGAAGCCATTTTGGGGGTCCCCTAAACGAAGATACACCCAGGGTGGTCACCCAAAGGCTGCTGTTGGAAAATACACAAGATTCGTAAGCCCCTGGTCGATCACTAGGTGTTCCCCTCTAGAAATGTGGAGGAGACTCATTACCCAATTGCTTGTTGTTTGCAGGCAGGACCATTTGAGTGGATAGCAAGTTTGGACGTTCGTGGCCAACCCTCGCAGGCGCCCAGACGATCGAAAGCCGGCTCTTCGTTTCTTTGCATCGAACTTTGGACCAGAAACGCTCAGCGCAAAACATGCTGGTGCAATGGGTGAATGACCCAGGGGGCTGGATGGTTTTTGGGGGGCATTCCCTCATTCCCTGCTGAGAACCGGCAAGAAAGCTGGGCTTTTCGGTTGCCACTTTCTGGTTGGGATCGAGGGAGAGAACTTGTGGGTAAACAGCCATTTTCCTGGTTCCATTGGCTACCTACTATACTTGGTTACCTACCTTGGCCCCTAAAATGACCTCCAAACACTGAAATAGGTGTTAAACAAACGTGCACCAATGGATCCTCACGAAAAGAGAGACACGTCACGTCGCTTCACCCTTCCCATTGCGCCACAGGAGCGTTCCGCCCGCGCAAGCGGCAGCGGCTCTCGTCCGGCTCGGCCACAGCCACAGAGGAGCCTCCGGGAGACATGAGCACGGTCAGTCTTTCTCTCACCCTGAGTTCATGGACTGCCCACTTTTTGGAAGACATGTTTCAGGGGTAAACAAAAAGTGTGGGAGCTTCTTTTGGGGCCAATCCACTCAGGAAGTAAGTGGTTGCTAATAGACAAAAAAGCGTAGTTGGGTTTGCCTATTTGGAGACATGCCCGAATCTGCGGGTGCCGAATCCCATATATTGGTGTTCCAAGCCAGGCCTGTTTCTGAGTGAAACCCTTCATGTTCAATCCAGCCATGTGGGAGTTAATCAAAATTGCTGGCCCCCAGATGACCAAGAGTAACTGTTTGCCTTTTTGCGGGAAATACTGTGGATGGACAGAATCCTGCACCACCTAATAAACCTGGATTCTGATGATTCCCCTGTAAATACCAACAAAGGTTATGGTTTCAACCATGGTTCAAAGTGGTGCGAAATGGATTTCGTCCATCCACAGTATCATATGGCTGTGGGTCAAAACCAATGGTACCATTTTGGGGTAGGTGCACCACCCGTTTTAGTCTATTTTAGTTGGGATTGGGATGTTCACTGAGGGTAACGTGCTTTTGACCCATGGCCATATATGTTTCATGGCTTTCCCCAATGGTCATCCTATGTAAAGGACCTTTTGATCAACCCCAGCCGGCCATTTGGGTTTGTGGAACGAACCCCCGGGGTCCAAGTTACCCCGTGTTCCTGGGAGTCAAGCGAGTTCATTTGGGTAGACTCCTGTATACCAGGTTTGGATCAAGGGAAAGCACCCGGCGAACCACCAGGTCAGTATGTACGTGCATTGCTTTGAGCCGGACGTACCACATGGGTGGAACACTCATCAGGCTCCAGAGACAAATGTGCTCTTTGCAGCACTCGTGGGAGTCCTAGGTGGGATGGTGTGCGCATGTTTGCTTCTGCGGCAGTCCAGGTATATTTGTCCAATTCAAATTGCAACCTGTCCAACCCATCCACTTTCTCTCAACGCTTATATTTCTCCATGTTTCTCTTTTGCAGGCCCCCACAAACATACCATGGGGAAAGCCTTTTCTGCAACTAATCCGCATGGGAAAGTTTTGCGACCTGAATATGGGGATGTTGGTTACCTATGATGTTCCTTTCATGAGCCCTCCTGTGTCCTTTTGAGTTTGACGAAATCGCTGCACTTCACCCTCTTGTGCCATGCGTTTGAACCGGGAGGCTTAACCTGAGAATGCAAGGGTGCATCGGATACCTCATGGTAAGAACCTGCCGACAAAAAGTGGGGTTGGGGTTCTTTGCAAAAGGAGAGACCCGAAGCTCACTTTCATTTTTTGAAAAGTGGCCGCGCTCCACTAGTGACCGCGTTTGATCAGGTTAGCGAAAGGCCGCTTTGCATGATAGAGGGCAGTAGAAACCCAAGTCACCCAAGTAGCTGGGCGTGGCTGACTTCCTTACCCCCTCGATGTACTACTCCGCCTCTTTATTGCCCATCTAACCCCGATCTCCCCAAGAACCATATCGGGAAACAACATTCACAACTATCAGCCCTAAAACCCCTCAAAAACTCTCTGAAACCCCTCTAACATTCTCTTCAAGCCTCCTAAAGTTTACTTTTTACCAACGGCAGTGCCTGGCCAATTCGATTTGCCAGGCCAAATTGGCAAAGCGCGGGCAGCGGCCAAACCCTTGGAGGCGACAAATCGCGCGCGTTGTAGTACCCCGAATTTGCCTTGGACGGATATGGGTATGGGTCAAACTTAAACCACCAGAAAACCGCAGGTTGTCGTCCATGACTCCTTTTGCCAGAAAACCCATTTTGGGTACGTATTTTTGACCCACAGCCATATGGCCGTGTCTCGTTTTTGGAGGTGGGCCCCCGAGTTTGGTGGTTTTGTCTCCGATTTGGGTGATTTTAAAGGGAAGACACCAGGAAATTCAACCATGTTGGGGGGTCCAACCTTAAAACAAAAAAAGCACATCTGGGTGTGGCCGGTGGATCCCTTATACTTGTCGACACACCCATATATCATATATGGCTGCGCTGCCTGTGCTTCAAAAGCACGACTTGAACAGGTTGGTTCCGTTTGGCTTGCCTTGTAGAAAAACCCCCGCAAAACATGCGACGCACTTTGTGGCCATGAACAAGAGGTTGATTCACCCACTGCTTCCAGGCAGTTGCCCGGGGGGAATCCATCCATGGTAAAACTTCGAGGTTCCCTGCTTGCAAAACTACTAATGTTAACCAAGGATTTATACACCCGTCCCATTATTAGGGGGATGTTCCCTCCAAAAGTGGTCTGAATCCTCACTAAAAGGGGACACCCCCCTATGAATCAACCAGGGGTTAAGATTAGCATTAGAGTGGCTTGCCACACCTGGAAGCACTGGGTCAGGGCTCCAGGCCTGCCAGAGGAAGCCATGTTTGGTGCTTGCCTTGGTTGTACAACCCGGTGGGACTGCAGCAAGCCTTGGCTGTGGCAAAAGCAAGGTTGGATCTTGTGGGAAGCGGAAATGGGTATGTATCCAAAATAAAGGAACCCCATGAGTTTTGTTGGTTTCAACAAACCTTGAAAGAGAACATTAAAAAACAGACTCAATTTACATTGAACCGCCAACAGGTTAGTCTTGCTTGGAGAAGACCATCTCAGTCTAGGCAGCATCTTGTCACTATAGGTCTGTAGTGGTCTGTAGGAACAAAAATGCCACATACTGTCAAAGCGAATCGACCGAAACCCGGCCCTTTGGCTTTCCTGGGCAAACTGTGCTTGGCACAGGTCTGCTCGACGGAGCAAGTGGCAAACACTCCGAACGACACAGTCTCCTCGCAGATATACCCAACTTTGTGCATGTAGTCCGGCTGGGCCGTTTTTTTGTGCCGGTATTTGCTATGGAGTGGGGGGTTCATCAGATCAGATCTTGTCGTTGGAGTTCACTCGCCGCTCCGGGAATGGGGGAACGAAGCCCGGGTTCCTTTAAACCAAGCGGTTCATTCCCAGCAGCTGTCTGATTCCCTGGCCACCAAAATCAAAGGCACCTCATGTTGGTCGAAACCAGCTCTCTTTTGGTTGAATTTTGGTGGGTGCATGTTTTTTGTTGTGTTTTTGTTTGTTTTGTTTTTGTTTTGTTTGTTTTTTAAGCATGCGTGAAACGGAGCAATACCGCCAGGGTGTCGTTTTGGGGCGGGCCCCTATTGGTTTCTGGCAGTACGGTTGTCAGCTGATGCCTTTCGTTTTTCCAGGGGACCCCCCAAATTGTGGCGTGCCTTGTTTTGGTGTGTCTTCCTTTAACTTCCATTTAAAACCACAAGAGGTATACCCTCAAAACAACACGCACCCATTTTGGTTTCCCATTAAAACCACAAAACATAAGGGTAATGTTGACCCCATATGAATCATCTCCAAAAGTGATGATTCCCCACTATACCCAGGGACACCCCTTACTGATAAACTGGGTTTGATTCATATGGGGTCAATATTACAAGTTATGTTTTGGTGAAAATCAGGGACCTTCAAAAAGCTCGGTTTCTTATTGCGTTCCTTCTAAATCCCACCCAAAGGGGTTGCCCCCCCAACATACTGTGGATGGACGAAGTCCATTTCGCACCACTTTGAAACCATGGTTGAAACCATAGCGTTTGTCGGTATTTACAGGGGAATCGATTCATTCCAGGGTCCCTTAGGTGGTGCGAAATGGATTGTGCCCATCCACATTCCCTAGGTCCTCCAGTAGAGAGGTTAGAATCAGGGTGCCAGCTCTTCTTTTTTTTCAGTCGTCTATTCTAGGTGGTGCGAAATGGATTTCGCCACCCTCGTAGCTCCATGTCGTTTTGCCTTTCGCCAGGCGACGGGAATGACGCCAGCCTGAGCCCAGAGGAGAGGAGGCAGCGTGCGCTGGAGGCGGGGGGCGGGCTTCCGCAGCCCGGTTGCCCGGTGGTTGAAGCACCTGTTTGGCTGAGGAAAATGGAATGGTTCTTGTACAGGCGTGAATGGGAAACCAATCCAAACCACCAAAACATTGGGATCCAGACCACCAATTAGAAGGAAGCTGACGAATAGTCCATGGACGCCGCGCAGAACTCCGGCTGAGTGTATGGGCCAAGATCTCCAGCACATTTAATGTCGTTTGGCAACTTCACCCTTGTTTCCCATCTTTTCCGGAAAACCAGCACGGAGAAGAGAGCACCTGGGGAATCTTCAGTGCTGTTGGATCATGTTTTGGGTTGTTAGGATTTTAGGTTCTGTTCATTTTGGGACCAAGGGTTGTGAAGGAATGGTCGAATCGATCGCTGGGATTTAAATCTGCACTGCACCGCCTGTCAAAGTCGCCTGTTTGAACAGGTCCCTGAATTTGGGATCGAGACCCTTTGGGGTAGGGACGGAATAGTGGCGTTTGTCTTCTTTTCGGAATCGGCTTTGCGGTTGGTCCCCCCCCCCCAAAAGCAAAACAGGGGGGGGGCCGTTTTCCCCCCTTCAGCTCACCCCGCCACCCCTAACGACGACGACCATTCGTAGGCCGCAGAGCGGCGCCAGAATCAAGTGAAGGGCGTCTCAGCCGAGAAGGACCGGCGTACAACACTCACTCCCGGAGTTCCGTTTCGGACTTCAGCGCACCTTTTGCCTTTGGATTGTTTTTAGGGGTCAAGAACAAGGGTGAATACCTTGTTTTGGTTGCCAATCCACTCGATCGGTGAGAAACTGGCGGGTTTCCTTTCGATTACTTAGGGATATCCATAGTGACTCCCTGAGTTCCTGGTTACATTTTTGGGGACCATTCTGGCAACCCAACAAAAATTGCTATTGTTTTGCCAATCATTTCATGTCTGGAGGTTATGCAAATGAGTTGAGTTTGCTTCCCGTTAACCTACCTCTTGGGGGTGGCTTTCATGACATGAGGCCAGTTTAACTCACTGCGGTTGGACTTCATTTTGAGACGAAGCCTTGCAAAGGCACCCCGCCAATTTGTTGTTGGGCTGTGTCACTTTTGGGGAAGGTCATGTAAATAATCAACAGGAGCCACTTGCTCAAAACCCGGGTAGATGAAGGTTGATAAGGAACTGCATATGATTATGACTGACGTTCGGATGGAACGCCCTCAAATGGTCGTCATACATCCCCAACCTTGATTGCCTCAGGGTTCCCCAAGCAAAAAACAGCCACCTCATACCCGAATGAGTTTTTGTCTTTTTTCAAGCGTATCATAAAATGAGCGACTGCTTCCTTGATTTTCCTTGAAAGCCATCCACACAGCCAGCCAACCCCAGGAATTTCGCAGGTGACTTGTCGTTCAAAGCCTCCAAAAGGATGGCACAAGCTGACGTTGAATCGGGCCTAGAACATGAACCCTCTTTTTGTTCCTCCCCCCAGTCCTAATTAGACAACTGACAATTGGTGAACTCAAATATGTGTTTGAATGTTGAATATATTTTGGGTGTGTCTCTAAATGGGGGCACCAAATTGGGGACCCTCAACCACCGACGCACCCATGTAAGCTATCTCTGAAATATATTATGTAGATTCTAGATATCTCTATATATTATATATTATATATTATATATTATATGTATATTATGTATATTATATGTATATGATATGTATATTATATGTATATTATTTGTATATTATATGTATATTATGTTCCGACAAGAGTGGTGGGAGGGGTAACTTTGGTGCATGTTGCTTGGATGTTAGGACTTTAGCTTTTTGCCAACCAATGGGTTTTCCATTAAACCGCTGCAAGTTGAACTTTTAGCAGGGAGCAGAAAGCAACCGAGGGTAATGAACCAACCCCGCAGCTACACGCTCTGCGTTGGTTCATCACCCCTGCTTGACGATACCGGAGAAACCTCGCAATGGCCAGCGCCACGAAGGAAAAGCGACTCAAAAACGAAAGGGACAGTCCCAAGCATGCAGGGTATAGGTCGCAGGGGCCACTTTTCTGTGCCAAAGGAATGCCATTTATGAGCTGCAAGGATGAACCCTTCATAGGTGAGAGGTTATTTGTTTATTTTCCACCAACTTTTGGTGATATGTCCCATGGCCCGATACTTTGTTAATGTTGAAACGCATGTGGAAACATGAACTGTGTTTGCAATGCTTGACCATAATGGCGCATGCCATTTTGGCTCAAGCTTTGCCCTGGGTTCTTTGAACCCAATTTGTGTGAAAAAGATCTGAGTTTGAACACCCCCGAACTAACCCCGATCAAGCAATGGCTTCCTCGGCAACCTCGGCAACCTCCTTCGAGCTGATTGATGACCAGACGCTCACCGCGGAGGAGGTGGAAATGGCCAGCCAGGAGGCCCAGGAAATTCGCACACGCGAGGCGGCATTGGCGGCCGGCCTGGTGTTGGACGAGCCCGAGGCCCCCCCATCGGCTTCGGCTACCGACGTGATGAACGACCTCTCCAGTGCACTGGAGCGTCTCCGTGTGGCGTTTGCCACACCGACTTCCGGCTTGGGTGCCCCTGGCCCCGCCGAGGAGGAGGACAAGGACATGGAAGATGCGGACGCCTCGGAGCGGGCTACTCCACTGGAAGAGGCACAGACACCACCCACGAAGAGGCTGAAGGGTTTCGTGGCGGCTTCCCAGAAGACCACGGCCCATGTGAACAAACCGGTCTCCCTGGTGCCGGTGGAGGGCCGTCCCGGCTACTTCAAGTTAGTGGACCTCCCAGACCTTTTCCCGGTCCTTCCGGCATCGGCGGCCACGTTGCTGAGGGACGTCACGGTGGAGGAGGCGGTCTCCCTGTTCCACAAGTTTGTCGGGAAGAATCTCACGGAGGACCTGGTGATTCGTATCCTGGAGGCCTATGTTCCGATGAAGATCCAGATCCGGCAGGAGGAGGTCTGGGCCTCACAGTTCCAGAGGAACAAGGCGTGCATTGGCCCAGCGGATGCACAGACTTGATGCAGGCCACTCAGATTACAAGTTCATGTGCAAAGCATGCGGCACGGGGTGGCCGGAGGCAGCCAAGCAGTGCTGGGTCTGCCCAGGCAAGGAGTTCGTCCCCTTCCAGGCACCCTCGGCTACCTATGAGGCGGACGGCGTCACTTACAACCTGCTCATTGTGGAGGGCAAGCCAGCCGCGGAAAGGGGGAAGCCTGGGTGCCGCTGGCCCCGGTGGTATTCGGGCACAGGCGGACCGCAACCTGGTGGACGGCACGGTCCTGGGGAGAGCTCCTCCTGAATGGAGCCCATCGCCTCAGCCAGTGCCTGGCTAACGTCAACGCCCTTCCCCTCCAGGTACTGGTCTCGCAGCTTGGCCTTGAATCGCTCCAGGTTGACCTTCCTAGGGCACGGGCTCCCTCATTGGCCACCTCCTCTGACGGCAGGGCCTGCATGCCCTCCTGGAGAGGCGCCAGGATAGCCATCTCATTGTCCAGCATCTCCTCCGTGACCAACTCCTTGTGCCTCCGCCTGGCCGAGGACTCCCACCTGGGGGTGGTAGAGCTGGAAGCTCTGAGCCTCCGCCTCCTTCAGGGACCGCTGCACTTTGACCTTGATCTCCTGGCATTCCCGGACCTTCAACGCCTCGTCGTCCGCCTCCATGCACAGGATCCTGCCGGATGTCCACCCGCCTGTTGAGCGGGACTCTGCCATGGTGATCTCCTCTGCCGTGTCCGTTTTCGGAGGCTCAGGAGGCGAACAAGCGCACCCAGGACACCAACCAGGCATGGATGCTTAACCACACTCTCAAGCCCTTGGTCTCAGGCAGGCACTGGAGAGGGGGCTATTCTGCCCCCTGGAGCTGGATGACCCCGAGGACATCCCCAATGTGGGAGACATCAAGGAGAAGTATGTCCCCTACATCAGGAGGCTCAGAGAGCCGCAGAACCCATGGCACCAGGAGGCGCTGCTGGAGGAGATGCCCGATCTGGCGACACCGGCCCCCCCAAGGGTGCCACTGGCCCCGGGGCGGACCAGCCAATGTCACAACAGGACCTGGACTCGGAGGAGGGCAAGCTGTCCCTGCTCCTCTGGGCGATGAAGAGGCACCAGGGGGAGCTACGGATGTTTGGGGGATCTGGAAGAAGGACCAGCAATTCAAGCTCACGCCGGAGGAGCTCCTGGCCCTGGAGCGCAGGACTCACCCACTCACGTGCGAGCATGACCACATCGACCCAGTCATCTACACGGCCTTGGAGATCCGAGCGCAGGTGAACCGGGGCGAGCGCCCGGCGCCGGAGCAGGTGGTGGGGATCTTCTGGGCGAAAGGTGATGGGGTGTTTTGGACCAGGCAGACGAGAACGTGGGACCTGCCGAGCCTGACGGGGGTGTACGCCCACAGGTTCACTTTCAAGTACATCTACTCGGCCTGGACCACTTTCCCGCTGATCGTGAAGACGCAGCGCCGGGGCCGCAATGCGGAGGGCTCGACCTCGGACAAGTGGATGGGCAACATCCTCCAGATGAGGAAGGAGGCGGTGCCCTTCCTGGAGAGCCTGGGCATCCCCAAGCCGCGCAGCAAGGCGGAATGGAGCTACATCTTCAAGGAGATGGGGACGTTTCTGGCGGCCAAGAATTTCATCGTTAACTGCCCGTTGCCGGTGATGGAGATCCCAGTGGCCCCCGTCCACGACAGCAAGGAGGCGCTGCGTTTCAGGGCGGTCTGCGACGAGCGAATCACCCTTCCGCTGTCATCGCTGAGGGCTTTCGACTCGGTCTACACCAAGTTGGTGTCGGGCCTGAGCAAGTCCTCCATGGTGGAGGTGAAGGTCAACTGGCGTTGCAACGTGGTCCACGACTGGGTCGAGCAGGTCCCGCAGGAGGCGGCGGGGGCCTTGTACGACAGGTTGGGCTACTCCCAGGACCTCATCCGGCAGCTGGGTTGCTCCCCCCCCTTGGGTGCCTCTGGCCCCGGGGGAGGAGCGGCCAAGGAATCGGACCCCAAGGCCAAGGTTCTGGGGGGGGCGGACACCACGCTCCGCACACCGGACCAGGGCACCAGGCGGTACCCGCCCATCACCACGTCCACGGTCACGGCGGTCGCGGGCCGGAAGTACATCAACAAGCACTTCCCCAAGGAGACGAAGCACGTGTTTTGGGCCTCCGTGGAGTGCGGCCTGGTCTTGCCCAGCATCAGCGCCTGGGAAGTGGTGGGCAAGGAGAAGTTCAAGACCACCGGGGGCTACATGTGCAGGTTTTGCAAGGGCTTCTGGAGGGCGAGCCGCGGGGGGACCAGGCTGCTCCAGATCACGGGGTGGCACAAAGACAAGGCCACATGCTTGCAGCTGGTGATGGACGAGCCCCCGGAGCAGCTATATAATCAGTGGATCCGGGACAGGATGGAGTTCTACAAGAGGGTGGAGCCGACGGAGCCTCCCAGGGACGAGCGGCTAGTCCTGGGCGACGCGAGCACCCCGCGCATGCGCTTCAGCTCCTCGAATGGCCTGGGGGATGTCTCCACTGCCTTGTGGTCGGTCATTTTGAGCAACCCGGAGAAGTCAGGGCTGGCGGCCATCCACTCGGTGGCAAAGGAGGCGATCTTGAAGGGTGAGAGCCGCTAGGTCGTGTCTCACAACCCTTTTGGATGTGGAGTCGTGTGATCTCTTCCCGCCGG